CGTGGCTCACTTGGCTAATCCTCCGCCTGTGGCACCAGCATCCCATATAGGCACCAGGTTCTAGTCCTGCTTGCTCCTCTTCCAGGCCAGCTCTCTGCTGTGGCCCAGGAGGGCAGTGGAGGATGGCCCAAGTGCTTGGGTCCCTGTACCCGCATGGGAGACCAGGAAGAAGCACCCAGCTCCTGGCTTTGGATCAGTGCAGTGCCAGCCATAGAGGCCATTTGGGGAGTGAACCAATGGAAGGAAGACCTTTCTCTCTGTCTCCCTCTCACTGTCTATAACTCTACCTGTCAAATAAATTTTAAAAAGATATATCCTTGTAACAAACGTGGGCAACTTATAATTATCTTCATCTTTAAGAAAAAGTAACAGATATTTAGGAAAGTGAAGTAACCAGCCCAAAGTTATAACAGCAAGGAAGTTGGAGGTAGACTCTGACCCCCTACTGCCTATACTGAGTACCCAAGTCTCCAATACTATTTTTTTCACCTTCTAATCCCTACTGCCAGTCAAGCCACAAAACAGGTTTGCAATACTGAAATAGAAAAAAAATCCAGCATATTAAAAATGCAGACATTGTAAATGTAAGTTATTCCTTGCTTTGCATTCTATTAACAAATCACTGTGGTTATTTAAAATATATGGATCCCACAGTTGCTTATCAAAGCTACCTAATACTCAATTACCATCCTTGAATAAGAGGTCAGGGTTAAAAGCAACAGATTCAAAAGATAAATTTGGATCTGGAAAAGGAAAGATGACAAAACAGTTTGCTGGACAAGATGTCTGGCACCTTTGGCCACTTTTCAATGAAATAGATGGGAAAAGATGTTGAGGTCACCGAGAAACAATTTAAGTGGGCCAGAAAGAGACAGAGTGTGTGTGATGGCTCCTTCGTACCTGCAGAATGAGGCACTGATCTATTCTGAGGGAGTCAAAAGCATGGTAATGAAGGAGAGGGGAGGGGTCTCTCTAACAACAGAGCCAGGTACACTAAATTTGGAGACTGAGCTTGATATGTTTGACACGGGTACACTGGCTTGGCTCACGGTGTCATTTTGTGTCAAGTATTAGTATAAATACCAACACCTATGCACTGGAGGAACGTTTGCATTTTCCTTAAGTATTTTCTGACCTGGCTCAGGAAAAAAAAAAAAAAAAAGGAGGCAGAACAAACATCAATGTGATTGTTACGCTTTTCGAAGAGCTTCCCAAGTTGTCTTGAGGTTGACCAGCTTGTTTCCTTACCCGAAGTACAGCAGTATGGGCTGCAACATACAGAAAGTCTACAACTTTCTTGTGTGTTTATTTTGCTGGGGGTAGGGAGGGCTTGGCGTTCTCCCCTTGAAGGGATCTACTGTTTCAGAATCCAGTAGGCATGAAATAATGAGGACAAAAGATATGCTGATGTGGGCTTGAGGCATGCACTAAAAACAGACTACTGGACTCTCTGCCTCCTAAGTTTTGATCCATTAAGTCTCAAGGGGGGAGCAGGAATTTTATTTTGAATAAGATACTCATGTGACCTTGTCAACCTGCCAGATACAATTAACTATAGCAGGGGGGAAAAAGGTTGAACAACGATTCCAGAGACCAGGGTGTGACCCCAGCTCTGGCATGCAGTGGGTGTAGAATCTCTGATAATTCGGGGTTCAGTTTCTTCAACCACTTATTCTCTTCAAGTGGCAGAATGGGGCAGGAGAGGGCTTGGGAAGCTTTCCATGGGCCTGTTGGCCCAAGTGTGTTAGGATTAGGAGTTAGCAGGGTACTCATTAGGAGTTTGACTCTGCAGTCAACCAAAGTTGAGCTCAAATGTCAGCACTGCTGCTTTATTGCTGTGCACAATGGACAGCTAATATGTATCACTGGGACAAGTCATGTAATTTCTCTAAAGTCTTGGTTTCCTCAACGATAAAGTACAAATGATAAGGGTACCTATGTCATTTTTTTAATCAAATGGGCAGATAACGTGCAAAGAATGCCCAGGACAATGCCCTGCTGAGTGCTCAGTATCAGTTAGTTGTGAACACTCATGACAAGGTCAACCAGAGGAGCTCTCTGCCTTCCCCTGGAGCTACTGTGATTAATGAGGTTCATGGAAAAGTCACCCTAGCTGAGCAACTTCCTTGGACTTGTCCTTTCATCAAGAGAAAATCACAAGAAATGACCTTTTCTGGAAAGCAAGGGAGGAGAGGAAGGTGTTAAACTGCCTCTCTCAGAAGGAAATACAGAACGAATTAGAGAAGGGTGCTACACCATACACAGAGTGTTCATTAAAGAGTGGTTCAGGGATGACCTGTTTAGAATCTGCTGGCACACTCATTAAAGTAGCACATTCATGTTCCTATTGGATCAGACTCCTGGGAGTGGGGTCCAGTCATTTGCCTTTCTCAGGAGCTACCCAGGAGCCTCTTCCAGAAATAGGGGCAAGAGAATCGGTAGCAAAACAGTGAGTGAAGCAACCCTCTGGATTCTCCAGTCCTGTATTTATGTAGGGGACAAAAAAGCAATGAAGGCAGAAACATTTGTGCATCTGTGCATTTGCCAAGCATCTCCACTTCTTATACTCTTGTTGTCTCCAGCGCAGCTGGGCTCCAAGCGGGTGTCCAATTTCTGCATAATTCATGACTCCCCAGGGAAACAAGCACTAACCAAGGGCTGGCTACTTAAGGAGCTGGATTATGTAGACTTCCGTAGAAAGGCAGTGTGGTTTATAAAAATTAAATACAAAAAGCATGGGCCTCCTGGCTGTCTGGCCTCTGTTCCTCCTCCCCACCTGACTTCTCCAGCCCAGTCTTTTTCTCGTATTTGCTCTCTTCCCTCACACTCTTCTGTCTTCACATTCCTCTCCATTGCTTTCCTTTCCACTCCTCTCTCCCACTCTTCCCTTCTTGTTCTTTGCCATCCCTACCATACAGCTTTCTTGTTTCTCTCTGCTCTCCTCCTCTCTCTGATTTTACTCCTTTCTCTTGCCCTGTCCTTCTATCGCTGTCACCATCTGTCTCTTTGCCACACAACAATATCTCACTGCCCTCTGGTCCTCTTGGCACCCCAGCCCCTGGCTCCCCCGCCCACATGAAGCCTCCGAGAAGCAGGTGTCTGGCGAGGCACATGCGCCACGTTAAATCAGCCAGTGTGTGCTGCAAGTCAAGGGCTCACTCTACTCATTCTCCCTGCTCTGCTGCCAGAGGCAAGCAGTGAGTAGCGCCTTCAGCACTTTGGGAGGGAAACTAAACTGGGGCTGGATGAACTTTGCAGCATTACAGAGTAGAGCAAGCACAACGAAATGGCTCTCGTACCCAGCGCTGCCTGGAGAGGGGAAGCCCCGCTGTGCCCAGCGCTGACAGTACAGGTCACTTTGTGTCCAGGGAACAAACCTCCCACTGCCCGGTGGGCAGGCAGTGGGGTGGTGGCACTGCCCTGTGCTGTTGGGGAAACTTTAGCATCTCAAAAATCTCTATCATTCTTCTCATAGCCAAGCAACCCCCATAAAACACAAAAGCTAAGTAAGTACTGAGGGCCTAGTATTCACACTGGCTCCAGACAACCCCCCTGCCTCCCCCCTCACACACACACACACACACACACACGGCCAGCTGCTCATCTATCTCCCAGCCCGGCATCCACCTCCAAGTGTTTCCTTTACAGACATTGCAGAACTTCTCCCGCGAACAGCAATAACTGTCTCCCGCCTACAATGGGCAAACTGAGGAATACAGAAGTCATGCAGCAGACGCAGGAAGTTACTTTGGAGTGCTCACAGCCTTTCGTGCCCAGAACCATTTGCACTTGACACACCTGATAAACAAACTTTTCCAGATGCAGCCCCACCCTCTCCCAATTCCAGTCTTGCCCAGCAGGTGCGCCATTTTTGTTGGGTAGTTTCTTCCATCCAGCTCTCACACCTTACTGCCCTCCACATGCATGCATCGGCACATAACTCCTGTACGCCCGCTCCGGTCCTTAAGTCCGGGGCTCAGGATGCCAGCCTAGGAGGCAGGTAGGGATAATAAGCTCTGGCCAGACGCCTGGCATTCCGGCACCCCGTACCTGGCCCTGCTGTGGAGGACAGAGAAAACTCTGAGATTTGGCTCCCTGCCCAGCAGCGGGAGCGGGAATACCCAGGGACTGGGAAGGCCAGGCTCTGGCTCAAGTCTCCACAGGAGCCAAGTCCTCCTCTCCCAGCTGAATGATCCCTTAGTTGCCTGCAAGTTGAAGCCTCAATCAGGCACACAATGAGGTCGCTGTTTTCCGAAGGGAGGCATTTGGATGCCTCACACAGTCATCCCAAAGGGGCCTGAGAGCAGAGAGTGCATTTTCTTAACCATGTTCACATGTGCCCCTGGAAGCGGCAGAGCCCTGGGGTGGGAGTGCTTTCCTTCTCCAGAGCCCAGAGCCCAGCACCAGGCAGCCCGTGCAAGCCACCTGTTGGGTTTGTGCGCCCCCAAACCCACACCGCGGTGCTAGGAATCCCGGTGCCAATTCTGTCAGCGACAGTTAAATTTTACTAGCGCTTTCTCCTCGGGCTACCTTTGCTGACACACACTCCACCCTCCCTCTCTCTTGCTCGCTCATCCCCGTTCCTGCTTCTTTCCCTCTCTCCCTCACTTAATATTCCAGCAGTCTGCTCTTTAATGAAGCGCGCTTAGCCTCCCCTAGGGGCTCCGACTGCCCATGATCCCGGAGCGCGCCCAGGCGGCTGCAGATCTCCAAGCGCTTGGGCAGGGTGCTTGCTTAAGGCGCGGGTGGCTGAAAAGCCCCAAATGGTACGCGGATGGGGACGGTCTGTTTCCTGCTCTAGGAATTCCCTTTCTCCTTGGGAAGGGGAAGGGGGCTCCCTCCTCAGCTTAGAAATGAAAGAAATCAGAGGGAGCCCAGAAGGCAATCGGGTTGCTTTCCGACTGCCAGGTGCAAGGAGACCCAACTTTCTCGCATCTCCCTGTCTTCCCAGCAAGGCGCTAGCTGGGGCTACAGGGAGCCACGCCATGCGGGCTACTCACCCCTGGGTACGCGCGCTGCCCCCGCAGGAGCCCCAAGCAGATTGGTGCGCTCAGGGTCAGCGAAACGCCTTGGTGGTTCGCTCCTCTCCTGGGCCACGCGCGAGCGCTATGCGCGCCGAGCGGGGCAGCCGAGGGCAGTCGATCCCATGGGTGGCGAGGTGGCCGAGGGCGCGCCGCCCGGCTGGGGGCGCATCGCTCCCGGGGCTGGCGCAGGCTGCGGCGGGGAGAGGGGCTCGCGGGGAAGTTGGCCGCGCTGGGGTAGACTTCGGACTTCGCGCTCACTCGGACTCGGGTGGCCGGGCGCGTCCTCCCGGGTAGGCGAGGTTCTCGCCCGCGGAATGGGGGCCGGCGCGGGCCAAGCGGCAGCAGGAAGCCTCGGCCGGCAGCCGCCTAGGAGGAGCGCAGCGGCATCGCGCCGTCAGGAGCCCTCAGCAGCGGCTGGAGCAGAGAGCAAGCAGGAGAGCCGGGTTGCCTCCTCCGGGCTGCGGGCGCTCCTTGCTCAGAGCCCAGCTCGCTCCAGCCCGCCGCGCCCCGCCGCGTGTCCTCGTCCTCCTCCTCTACGCGGCTTCGCCGGCTCTCGGGGCTCGGCTGGGGCCCAAGGCTGAGCGGAAGGCGGCCGCAGCTCCCGCAGCATGGAGGGCGATCTCCCCGGCTCGGGCTCGGGCTCGGGCTCGGGCTCGGGCTCGGGCTCCGGCTCCAGCAGCGGTAGCAGCGGCCGCCGCCTCCCGCGCGCCCACGTGCCGGAGCCCCGGTGTGCGCGCTCCGGCTGGCAGGGTAAAGGGAGGGAGCGCGGGCGAGCGGCGAGTGGGGGCGGCGGGGAGAGCCTGCACCCCCGCCGGGCGGAGGCGGACGCTGCCTAGAGGCTCCGAGGGCGCGGGGCTCCCGGCCCGCAGCTCGGAGGAGACTGGTGTGGAGGCTCCCCCGCTCTCCCTCCCCGTGCAGAGCGGAGGGGGCCCGGAGCGGAACGCGGGCGGGGGCAGGGGCTCTCCACTCCGCAGGATCTGCTGGAAGCGGCGGCCCGAGGCAGCTCGGCCGCTCCGCCTACGGGGCAGGTTCCAAGTATCCTTGAACCCGTTCGCCGCTCCTCCGGGAAGAATGGGGTTCACAAATACCGGGCGACAGAGTCTGCGGTTCCTTGGGAAAGCTGATTCCGGCTTGCCCCGCCTTCCTCCCAGAGTAAGCACTTTTCCCGTTCACCAAGGGACTCTGAGGGGCTCCTCCTTCCAAGACGAGGGGAGTTGTCTTGCGCGACAGGACAGCCACCAATCAACTGACAAATAATTAGCGAGCAGGCACTCGGAGGGACACCGAGCCGAGTCCTGCAAGTTTGGAGTACTGTTGTAGTCGAGGCTCTGCTGCTTAGGGATAGCCCTCCTGGAGCCTGATTGCCCCACCACGAAAGGAGACTCCATCCAGATAGACGTTAAGAAAAATACATGTGAGAATCTCAGTATCAGAAGACTATTCAGCAAGACGGGTAGTAGTAGTTCAACGCTAATGAGAAACATTATTAAAATTCAAAAAAAATTGCAGTCATAGAAAATTATCTCTAAGGCAAGAAACAATTAGAAAGGGGCACACTTACTGGGCACTACATGCAGTCACTTGGAGATCATAGTCTCTGATCTCGTTATCTTAGTGGAGAAGTTGAGGCTCAGAGATGACAAAGGCTTGGCCATTGTCCATGCTTCCCATTTGGTCAAACCCCAGCCAAGTCTGCAATCAACAAACCTGTGATTTTTCTGCCACATGCAAGTACACAAATTACATTCAGCATCATTATGATGAGACATAGGAAAAGAGGAGAGCAAGGAGTTCATTCGCCGCTGGATGAAAGAAGTGGGATTTCGAGTCAATCCTAAAGAGCAGGTAAGATTGGACCAGCTGGAAAAGTGAGAAGAAGTGAGGTTCAAAATGCAGGATGGAGAAGGACACCATGGAGCAGCAGCAAACAAGTTTAGCCAGAGCAGAGCTTGCCTAGGCAGTGGGGAGCCGCTGAAGAAAAGAAAAGAATGAAGGCTTCATTTTTGGATGATGAAAATATCCCTGTCTGAGGGGCAAGAGATGGAGGGTGGGGAAAGGCAAGGAATTGCAGAGATAGCTATTAGGAGGTCAAGGGAGCTATCTAGATGCAGGTGATTGAAATCTGAGGAAATGTGGAGGCAGGTAGAAACTGAAATAAAGAAACTTTTCCTGTCCCCATTTTTAAAAACCTGTTTTGTAGGAAGTACACCATGGTTACTTGCAGGAAGAAGTGCATGGGAAGGCACATGTGACTGAAATACAACAAGAAATTGGGGGCCAGCGCTCAGAGGCAACAGTGAAGCTGTTCGCGTAACTGGTCCAAAGGCTACATTGGTCCCCTAGTTTCAATATTCAGCACCTGGGAGCTGGACAGCAGCAGCACTTGGTGAGGAAGGCAGGTTAGGATCCCATCAAGCAAACGGGAATACCAGGAAGAAAAGGAAAATCTTTTATTTCTTAGGGGCACTTGAAGGCACGAATGGCTTCAAGAGCTTTCATGGGATCTCCCCACTGGAAACAGTCTCTCCATCAGCATTGCATCTTCTTGTGTGGACCAGCAACAACAGGATCACCCAGAAGCTTGTTAAACACAGAGAATATCATCATTTGAAGTCAGCTGACTCCAAATTTCCATCTTAAGATCCAAAACTGATTCATATGCACATAAAATTTGAGAATCTCACCAGCTCTTCCTCTCTGAACCTAGAGTCTTCAAACTTTTGAGTATGATGGCTAGTTTAACACTTCATGTTACATCATCTTAAACACATACAATTTAGATTTTTACAAAACACATGTACTTATTGTGTGATTCACTCCAATACTTTTTATTCAATTTATTTTATTTTTAAAATGTTGGCCATGACCTATTACTTGATTCCATGACCTGCTAATGGGTTTCAATTTGTGACTGAAAGGGATTGAACTATGCTATTAATTCTTTCTGCATTGAATTTTGGTGGTCTGTGTGTCTGTATCTTTTCTACATGACTGTGAGTTTCTTAAGGGCAAAGTTCAGTGTTTTTAATCTTTGAAATATGTCAGAAATTAACAGAGGCTTTTATATGTTGTAGCATATTAACAACAAGGATTGAGTCAATCAGCAAATACATGATTGGATTAAAACTCAGGATTGAGAGTAGGCTAAGGACCTGATTCCAAGGGGCTTTGGAAACTGAAGTATGAAAGAAAGCCACTGAGTTGCTGACACTCATTATTAGAGTTGAAAAAGAAATAGAAAGGTGACAAATACTAGTTAGTGCTACCTGATATAAAAAGGACAGTTTCCTAGAATCTTATCATCCTGAGACCAGAGCTGCTTCCCAGGAAAGGGGAGAACTAGGACCAATTATTTGGATTGAGTCAGGTTTTGTCTGACTGCACAAATATACTTGGAAAATAGATCTTTCCAAATCTCAAAGTGCCTTCTTTTAAAGAGAGTTATTTATTTGCCAAAGTAAAGGATTTACTGTTCACCAACCAACAGAACTTTAGAATGGACAGAATTATGATTCATTTTGTGTAAGTTAAATAATAACCTAACAGATAAATATTACAGTCATGATATTTAATCTTTGTTGCTGTTAGAGATGTCTTCCATCCGCTGGTTCACTCCCCAAATGGCTGCAATGGCCAGAGCTGAGCTGATCCAAAGTCGGGAGCCAGGAGCTTCTTCCAGGTCTCCCATGTGGGTGCAGGGGCCGAGGACTTGGGCCATCTTCTACTGCCTTCAAAGGCCACAGCAGAGAGCTGGATCAAAAGAGGAGTAGCAGGGACTAGAACTGGTGCCCATATGGGATGCCGGTGTTTCAGGCCAGGGCTTTAACCCACTGCACCACAGTGCCGGCCCTGGTAAAGAAATCTTAAGGGTTTACTAATCCAACTCCTCATTTTGAAGGAATCTATGGAACTTATCACAGTTTCATTATCACTGGTCCTATAAGAAGGCAAGCAGTGCAGGATCTGATCACAAGCTTTAAGACTCAATAATCAAGACTGCCGATTGTATCCTACATAGAGATGCTACAGAATACACAGGTAGGAGTTACCATTTTAGTGTGATGAAGAATAATAAGAATGATTGATGCATTGCTTCAAAAGGCCAGGAATGGATAACAAGGACTGCGGATCTACAATGGACTGGGCACTGTGGCAGATGTGTTTCATACTTTATTTCATAAAATCTCCTATTTAAAAAAATCCATGAAGTAGGGTTTTTTAATCTTCATTTTTCAAATGAGTAAAGGAATGCTCTAAGAGGTTAAATACTTTGGATTTTAAAGCTAAAAATTTCCAGAGCAAGTTTTGAATAAAGGCCTGTATTAATCTTAATTCATATTCCCTCTTGCTCTCTTATGCTTCACCTCTCAGTCACAGAAAATTTCAAGCAAAAACTAGCTGGAACAAGAAGGACAGAATTCCAGTGGGGGTAAAAAATGAAACTGCAGACCTGAGAAATATTCCACTCTCGCTGAGACTCTGGCAAGCTTAAAACAGTTATTTGCATCAATGTGGGAGTACTATTAAGGATGTTAAGTACATCCTGGTGTGCAGGATCTGCGAAGTGACTAAGTGGTGGACCATCACATATGAAAGTGATTACTGCTGTTGGAAGATACATTGCCTGCAGCTCAGTAATAAGTTTTGCACTAGGAGAATTTCACTTCCCATGTAAATGAGGATGCTTTTGTTTGTCAGAATAACCAACACCAACTTAAAGTAGTTTAAGAGAGGGGGCAAAAAAATAATCTTAAAGAATCGACTCAAAAAAATACATGGAGAGGTAGCTGCTATGGCACAGAATTAAGCCATGGGCTTGGATGCCTGCATTCCTTATTGGAGTGCCTGGAATGGAGTCCTGCTGTCTTCAGATCCAACTTCCTGTTAATGAAGCTGGGAGTTCCAAGTACTTGAGTCCCTGCCACCCTTGTGGGGAGTCCAGGATTGAGTTCTGGGTTCCTGGCTTCAGCCTGGCCCAGTTCAGACTGTTGTGGACATTTGGTAACTGAACTAGCAAATAGAATATCTCAATGCCTACCCCTCTTTCCTTCTTTGCCTCCCTCCATTCTTTCTCTTTCTCTGTCACTCTGCCTTTCAAATGAATAATAATCAATAATAAACATTTGGAAAACCATATGGAAAGCAATGCAACAAGGCCTCTGGAACAGAATGCAATGTGGGGATGGAATCCTTCTCAGTCTCATATAATCTGTCTTTATTCTATGTCTCTTTTTCATGACATTGACTTGCCATGCTCAGACTTCTTTCCTCCCTTGCTGCAAAACAATTGTCTGTATCTATGCTCCTGTGATACAAATATCTATTTTATGCATTTCATATGCATTTCTTCATTTTCTGTCTTTGGTCTTCAAGTCAACTTCACCAGAAGAAAGAATTTAGAAGAAAGCATACCTTAGATCCAACAGTTACCCTTCCATAACCCTACAGAACCATGAGTGTGGAATCATAGTACCAACAAAACTGTTAAAAGCTTAACCCTGTGAATTGGATATAAAGTGAGGAAAGTGGCTATAAATCCCAGAAATAGTGCAAACACGTGGCTACCACAATCATTATCATGGGCAATCCAGTTCTCCAGAAGGGATGCTGGGAATCTTGTCATATGCATGCTAGCTTGTATGTGTGAGATCTCCAGGTCACCACGAGGACTGAAAGTGTCCCAGTTGGTTTGAATCCCCAGAGCATAAAGGGGAACCCTCTCTAAAGATCCTTACCATCCATGAACTTGACTCATGAACCAGAACTAATGGGAATTAATGAATATCCCAAGCATCTCATAAATTGACAAATTTATCTGAACATTGATCCTGTGTCCTATTTTCCTACACTAAATTGGAATTCAGAAAATCTGTATTTAAACCTTGGCTTTGCCTTTACCTGCTATGCAATTTGGGGCAAGTTTTCTTGCCGCACCAAAATTGGTGGCCACTTAAGCATGGCCTGCTTA